TATATATATATATATATATATATATATGTGTATATATATATACTTTAACGCGTATTAATTCACAGTAACGGGAGAATTAATACGCGTTAATAGCAGTTAATTACCAAAAGAGGAGATTTTGAAGTTCGTTTTAAATGGTTTGACCGGTCTTTTTGTGCTTTATGATGTATTAGCATCACTTTTTATGCGAATTATATATCAGATTTAAAAGAAATGTTCTGTTTTTGAAATCTTTACATTTAAATTCGACACCTTTTGATATTGATACACATTCAAAGCTGATATAGTTGTTATTTGCTGTTAGGAAAGGGTCGTGCTGCTTTCAGGTACTCTTTGTAAACTCTTGCTCCCTGCTTAATCTACTGCTAGCTATTTATAGTACTTTTACAGCGTCTTATTATTACAGCTAAATGAAACACCTAACTAATACCTTTCTTTATATGTTTCTTTATATACTTGCATGCTACAGTTAATGAGAATCTGTGCACAGTCTCAGGCTTCAGTTTGCAAGCAAGTAAACTGGGTCTTTAATTATTTTCCTGTTTTTTTTCCTTTTTGCAGGGGCACCATAGCCAGAATAGAAGAATGCAGCCATCCCATTGTCATGAAGGGCTTATGTGCCGAATGTGGTCAAGATCTAACTCAGTAAATACATGCTTTATCTCTTTCTTTCTTTTTTTGTTTGTTTGTCTTTAACTTAAATCTTTGTGTTTTTCTGATCTGCTCATGCATTTCCCCCCAAGAACTTTGTTTTCTCTGTCTTCTCTGTCTGTTTTCTTGGAGCCTGTCCAGCCTGTCATAGGAGTGATAGATGCCAGTCTATCACTATCACTAATCCAGAGAGACAGACATTCATTCACACTTACATTTACCTCTGTGGCCAATTTAGAATCACCAGTTTAACCTAATATACAAGTGTTTGATCTGTGGGGCAAAGCTCATCTACAACACTTACCTCAAGATACTTAAAAAGCACATTATTGTTGTTTATATACATAATCTACTCAATTGATTTGATTTGATTTTTGAAAGGTTGCTACAGCTAGTTAGCTCAAACAACAATCTACTGGTTGACTTTCAGTTAGAGTCAAACCCTTTGCAAGATGCAAAAAGGTGCTTTTTCAAACCATTTTTTACCCCTCAGCCATTAAAGTTAAAATGAGTATAAATCTCAAAGTCAAAGGTTAAATGTTATACAAATGTGATAACTCGAGGCTCGTAGGCTTTTAAAATTGATACCATAGGTGTTCCTTCTCGGAGGCTGAGGGGTAACGCTGGCTGTTACCAGTAATCTTCTCATTTTTGGAGTTCTCTCTCTAATAATGTAGAGACATTTATATTTTTGATACAAAAAGGCTAAGGTTACATACGCGGCATTAACCAGTTATATTTAATGTCTAAGTTACTTGTGGTCTCTCAACTCAAGCAGCCTGTTTGCTGGGAAACAGTCCTGTATAAATGGTAAAAAGTTCATGCTGACAGTGCCATGCAGGCACCAGTTGTAGTCGTGGTTCAGTTAGAGAATACTTTTGGAACCTCATAACTTTGAAGCTCATACTTTTACTGAAATGAAACACTGACTGAATGTAGTGCTTGCGATATAACCTGATTCATTTATTGCCATCAGATGGTGCCAGAGATCATATACAGAGTGCAGAGCTGCAGCTCTGGTCCCAAATCAAGCACTTGCACTCTGCAGTTTTTCTTTGTATCACTTTGGTAAAGCAAGAGCATTTGAAGCTATTAATAAAACTCCAAAACACACCAAATGATTTTTACATAGACCCACAGAGTCTGTGTTTTACTATAATTGCTGCTGCTGCTGCTGTTGTTGTTGTTGTGAAGTAAAAGTCTGGCTCTTTTTCTGAAGGTATCAATATTGAAGACAGAGTTTACATGATGTGGCACAGAATTGCCTCAGCAGGTGTCACTTTTGGATGTCATGTTAACATATTCCTGAAGTAGCTTGAAATGCTCACCATCACTTTGTAAGTGAGGTGTATTCTGTGCTCACTGCAAACATAACGGCTGTCAAGTGGAGCAGTTTCAAATCTGCATGTTTTTCAAAGCTCTCTTTTTATTCCCGGCGCAATATGTTCAAGGACCTGAGAGATGCAAAAAATGTGTGACGCCCACTCTGTTTTTCCTTCTCAGGCTCCAGAGCACAAATGGGAACCAGCAAACTCCCATCTCCACAGCAACAGTCTCCATGGTGCATAGTGTCCCTGAGCTGATGGTGAGCTCTGAGGTGAGTCATATGATGAAGCTACGTGGAGGACTGGACTGGCAGGCCAGATAAACCTTACGCGTGTGTGTTTGTTTTTGTTTTGTTTTTGTTTTTTTATTGCAAAAGTCGAGTAGTCCTAATTCCGGTAAACACGACTTGCATTTTTATGATTGATTAATCAGTTAAATGTAGGTGACCACGCATTTGCAAGTTCTTGACTGGTCTTACCAAGAGCGCTATTCCGCTAGTACTTACTCGGCTTGACTCAGCGCAACTCTGTTTCAGTCGTTTTCCATCACAATTGAGTAAGATCTAATGCAGGTGCAGTCGTTATAGCAACGGCAGAAAGTCCTGTGATGTCATTTGTATGCGACACAAACACAACAACAATGATGCCAAGGTATATCTGCTGCTATGTGGTGTGTGTATGTGTGTGTGGTGTGTGTGTGGGGGGGGGGTCACAGTGTTGTGTTCTTCTGTAGCCATTTCCCTTGTTGCTGGGTGTCACTCGCTTGCATACAGTTTGTTGATGTCACATTTTCAATTTGCCTCAGATCACTTGGAATCCCACCCGAGTACTGGTACCATTAGGTAGTACTACCACCTAATGAAAAACCATAAAAAGAGCCAAGCTGAACCGAGTAGGTACTACTGAAAAAGGCCGGTAATAGCTGAGCTGCTTTGACATTGAGCCAATTCATTTCGACCTAAATCAGAGTAAATGTGCAGTAAACATGAAATAAAGTAATGTGATAAAGTTTTTACAGACTTCTGTGCTGTCCTGTGAAACTCTTAAGTGCACCCTGCGATTCAGTAGGCTATCAAACCAGTCCTAACAGTAATAACTTGAAGTAATTGCTAATAATATAGAACACAGTTGTTATGGAAGAACTGATGCTTTACAATGTTGCTTCAGTTCATTGAGGTTTGCAGGAAAGGTGCAACTCCTGCAGCATCTTGATTCTTTTCTTTTTCAGCTATTCTTTTGTAGATTTGCTGCTTGGGATCTTTGTCCTGCTATTTAACAACGTTTCTGTCAAGCTTTAGCTTTTTGATAGATGACCTTATATTTGACTCTATAGTACTTTGGCATAGAGAGTACTTAATAGTTGACTTGGGGACTACAAGGAGCCCGGGACTGTGGTTGCAAAACAAGCTCAAACCTTAACACCTCCACCACTGTGCTCGACAGCTGGAATGAGGTGTTGATTTGGTTTTCACCAGACGTGGCTTTGTGCAATTTGGCCTTTGTTCACACATTTCCAGTGGCTTGTTCATATGCAACTTTGCAAATGTGTTATTTGTAGAGAGACAAAGTTTTCTTCTGGCAGAAAAATGCTACACTTCTCCAGTCTTCTTATACTGTAACAAACTTTAGTATGCTATCTGAGGCTTGTAGAGTAATTTGTTTACATTCTCTCTCTGAGGATGTGCAGTCTGACTTTGGGCTGAATTTGGTGGAACATCCACTCCTGGGAAGATTTGCCTTTAATATTTTGTCTTGGGAATAATCCTTGTGGCTTCAGAACCAGGAACCTCAGATTGTTTGGAAATGGTCTTCTCACAGCAACAATTGCTTCTCTAAAATAAGCCTGACATCTTTCCTTCTTTGATGTTGTTAACGCTCATGTTGTTCATTCTCACACTTAACAATGGGATCTGTGTCCATCTTTTATATACAGGCCATAGCTTTAAAAGCAGAGAGAATTTTATTTTAAATGAGAGCATAAACAAATGACCTGGACGCAGCTACTGTTCGTTAAGTTTCTATCAAGCACTTAACTAACAATTTCACACAAACTTAAACAAAAAATTCTTAACCATAAACCTTGAAAATATCTCTCTCTAATATCTCTTGCACCTGTGCTGTACAAAAACACAACCTAGAGTGTGCAAACGTTTTTCTAATTTTCCATTCATTACCTTCAATCGCTCCCAACAGCAAGCAGAACAGCTGGGCAGAGAGGACCAGCAGAGACTCCACCGCAACAAAAAGCTGGTCCTAATGGTAGACCTGGACCAGACGCTGATTCACACCACTGAACAGCACTGCCAACGGATGTCCAACAAGGTATTGGTCTCCCCTCACACAACTATCACTGTCAGCAGGGTTTTTATTCTACCATGTCTTTTGATTTCTAGCAAAGTGCTATTTTGAAACACTTGTACAATGTAGCTTTTGTTGAACAGCCTCCGCTGTAGCAACAAGACACTGCTATAGGATATCGATAAATGCTAAAATGATCTCTAAAAGTAGCGCAAATAAAAGAATCATAAATCAGTCTGTAATGTAGCTACACACACAAACACACACTAAGCTGCTGAGCCTGCCCATGTATTTCACAAGTCCTTGTTTTCCCATAAAAACAAGATCAAGGGGTTTTCAGTTTGTCTTTATTGACAATCTTTAATAGTGCATCCTGATACCCAACCCTGCAGCTTCTTTCTGACGTTTTCTTAATCTCTTGTTGTGTCCTTCAGGGCATTTTCCACTTCCAGCTTGGCCGAGGAGAGCCTATGCTCCACACACGACTTCGCCCACACTGCAAGGAGTTCTTGGAGAAAATCGCCAAGCTCTATGAGCTGCATGTCTTCACATTTGGGAGCCGCCTTTATGCACACACCATTGCTGGTAAGGAGCGTATTGTTTTACATGTTGCAGCACCTTTCCACTTTAAAGTTCGGATATGTATTAAATCACCTTACACTTTCACTTTTTGCATTTTGACACTTTGGGAAACTTTTCACCTTGTACTACCCGTTTGTGTCCATAAGAGGGGAGTGTCTGCTCATACTTTGTGTTCTTGCTGATGTTTTGTTGGATCACTTATCTATCTGCAAGCTGCAGTTGTACTTAAACTTTAAAACGCTTACTAAACCCATGTAATGTCTCAGATGTTAGCAGGTTTCTTGCCAAGTTTGCAGATATTTACTTTGCACAGCGCTTGGCTGCTCAAAGTAATCCTGATGTTGCTTTCTTTCTAAATGAAAATATTTTACAGCTTTCTGATTCAGTAACGTTATATTGATATGTTAGTGTGTCTAAGCAGCATGTTTTTAGTATTCTGGGTGCAAACTTTCATCAGGCAATAAATGGTAGGGGCAGTCTCACTCTAGTACTGTTCTGCCTCCATATGATGAATGTTTAATGCATTTTGAATTGGATTTTACTGCTGACCCTGATGCAGTGATTCAACATGTTTGAGATCAGCGCTCCTGCCATTGACAGCTTTTGCTGTGGTTTCGCAGCCTGTACAGTGGCTGTCCTGTTTAGTCACTGTACATTACTGTCCACGTTTCTTGATAGACATTTTATTTCAGTAAAAATCCCTGGGAAACTTGGATTGATTGCATTCAGGGAGACCAAAGAGAAGGTCAAGAAAAGCTTGTCAGTTTAAGAAAAATATCCACTGTTGTGTTGAAGAAGTGGTTACAGTTGCATAGATTAAAAAAATAATAATAATTTAAATCTGCATTTTTTTGCTTGTCTTTATAGGCTTCCTGGATCCTGAAAAGAAGCTTTTCTCTCATCGAATCCTTTCTAGAGATGAATGCATCGATCCATTCTCAAAGACTGGGAATCTTAGGTGAGAATTTCCTACCTAAGACTAGATCCTTCGCTCATAGCTTAGTCTAGTGATCAGTCCTTGTCTTCTGTCTGGACTCTACTATACAGGGTTTTGTTTTAAAAACAAAGAGAAAGATTCGGGGTATGTTTCTTTTGGTTTTCTTTGGTGGTTATGTAAGGATTTGATTCTAGTATTTACACTCGGTTTCCAGTTGTGTAACAAGTTGTTATGCTTTGCCTTCTCCTCTGATTGGCTGTGTTCCGAGTGCGTGGAGGAGAGACTTTACACAGGGGGCGGAGCAGTGAGACACAAGGTGAAACAGAGAGCAGAGGAGCAAAATAAGCGTGACAACAAAATGAGTAGAGAATCCACTGAGTAAAAAAACATGAATAAAACATTTCTTTTTGTTCCGTTTTTCTTTTTTTCTTTGTTTGTTTTTGTTTTAAGCAGATAATAACCAAAAACCCAGGAGCTGGTTAATCCAAATAATTTTCTTAGCGCCATTATCCATTTGTTTAATGTCTTTATTGTCATTGTTTGTTCATGTTTGTGCAGCACAAATGGTAGAGCTCTATTGTTCTTTCTCAGTGTCACTTATGAGTGGTTGCCAGCGATGCCTCTTCTTGGAAACCCAAAAGCGGAACTTTGATATAAGAAATTGATGTTCCCCTTATTTCCCTGTAACCACAAATAACACTACTAGATTTTTAATGGGCTGTCTGTATTGAGCATCTGCCATGACGCTCAGCAGTTTTACTGTTGTTTTGAGCACTGTCTTTCTTTCTTTCTTTCCTGGATAGAAACCTTTTTCCTTGTGGAGATTCGATGGTCTGTATCATCGATGACCGAGAGGATGTGTGGAAATTCGCACCTAACCTCATCACTGTGAAGAAATACATTTACTTCCAGGGCACGGGAGACATCAATGCTCCTCCGGGATCACGGGAAGCTCAGATGGCCAGGAAAGGTATGGTTCACCCACTCATCTTTGATAAGGTAATATGTCCATTAAAAACAATCTGGACCAACAATTCTTTTATGCAGGTAAACACCCTGTAATAAGATTATTTTCTTCTTCCTGCTTCTTTTCACACATGGTTGTAGTGCTTTTTGACAGAAAGTGTGGTTGGTTTGTTTGAATTGTTGTACCAAGTGTGAAATAAATAAATAAAATAAAAATAAGTGATGCTTAGAGAAGTTTAATTGGAAAACACACTATTTCATGGTTCTCTGCCTTTAATCAGAAATGTATGCCTGCAGTGGTGATGGGAATCTTTGTGGGAAGTGTCTGGGCTATAGTTGAGGGTCACTTCCAACAATCAACTATTTTATTTATTTATTTAATGTCAGATAAACAGGAGCCGAATTAATTGTCCAGTTTCAGACATTACATAGATTGTTCACTAAATGCTTTCGTTTCTGTTTCTGTCTGGATCAGATATTAATGTTCCTCAAAAGACTGTAAAAATGTAGCAAATTGTACATTTGTTTAAAAACGAAGAAACTTCACAACCACAGATGAGGCTCCCGTAACCTCAACCACTAATATGTCAAGTTCAATTCAATTCAATTTTATTTATATAGCGCCAAATCAACAAAAACAACAACAGTCACCTCAAGGCGCTTTATATTGTACAGTAGATCGTACAGTAATAGATACAGAGAAAAACCCAACAATCATATGACCCCTATGAGCAAGCACTTTGGTGACAGTGGGAAGGAAAAACTCCCTTTTAACAGGAAGAAACCTCCAGCAGAACCAGGCTCAGGGAGGGGCGGGGC